GAGGGGACCCATGAGGATGGCTCCCACAAGATGGCACCTGAAATCTTTAAGGGCCTTCACGAAGAAGTAGTCGGGATTGCACCGGCGCCCATGGAGCATGCAATGTAGGGCAAAGAGGTCAGGGTGGGTGACCTTTCCCTTACTCTCCTTCCGCCCATGAATGGTCTCCGCTAGCAGCTTGTGGCAAATGCGGAGAACGAGGAGGAGAGCGGACCCCTTCAGTAGGGTCGGCAAGACTTGCGCCCCGGTGAGATCCTCCCACATCTCACCGGCTGTGAGGGTAGGCGGCCGCTCACAGACGACTCCCTGGTACCTTGGGGTCAGGATATGCTCGGACTGTACGAAGCCGATGGAGACGTTGAATTCATCCAGCGTCGTAGTCCGGTAAGACCCATTCATTAAGTAGGAGACCATCTTGACCGGAGGGATGCTTGGGATCATGGTGGGTACCTCCATCAGCGTAATGGATGCAAGGAACTCCATTACTGCCTGCATATACATGCGGGTGGGAGGAGGCTGGAGGAGGAAGTCCCACCCGATGCTCTCAATGAATCCCCGCACCTCGTCCTCCCATCCAAACTCGGCGAGGATGCGGAAGTCCAACCTCAGCATGGGATGCCAGGTATAGCCCCGGATGTGCTCAAGCCGGGCCTGGTGCTGGGGCGTTAGTTGGGTCAGGTCTGGAGGAGCCGGGGCCGCAGATGTGCTTGGGCCGGAACCCCTACCCCTCTTTCTAGACGTCTCTCCTCTATGCATTTTGATAGAAAGCACTCAAGAATGTAGAAATGTATGAGGATGCAGAAGTGCATGCCCAAAACTGACCCCAAGGCCCCCTATTTATAGATTTTTGTTTCAGGTTGAGATCACCGTCTGGGATTTTGGGACGGCGGTCTCGATTTTCCGAGACTTGGGACCGCCGTCTGGAACTTCGAGACGGCGGTCTCATTTTGGGCCTATGGCGAGACGACCTTCTCGCCAAGGGAGAAGGCGGTCTCATTTTTGTCCAAAGCAAGACGGCGGTCTCGTTTCTACGCGGGTCGAGACGGAGGTCTGAGAAGTCGATACGGCGATCTCAAATTTTAGAAGATTTGTTTTTTTGAAGAAAGAATAGGACCTTGTTCAAAAACATTTTATGCATGCAATGTTTTCATGTTTGATGTTCTATAATGCTATTTCATTAATGTGTTTAGAAGGATTAACTGATATGTCTTATAGACGGGGGGCCCTCTGATGTTTTGCTTCTCTGCTATACTCGTTTGTGCCGTTCTGGAGTTAACGTGATCGAAGAATGACTTTTGGTTTGGAGAGCACACTTTGCCATGTCGGTGCCCTTTTTCCTTGCTTTAGGGATTTTAATCCTCTTGTTGACTATACGCCTCCATATTCCCAGACTAATTGTTAGAATAATGTTGTGAGGGTCAAGAGAAAAGAAGTAAAGGGGATAAATTCAACGACTTGTATTTTAGATGGTTGATTTTATTTTAGAGAAGATTTTGTAAGAATAGCTGGCCAGGGTTGGCTAGAGTGTTTAAGCTATTGTCTAAACAAACATTTTTCTTTAGGGATTTGCGCCTTAGCCTATTTCCACTGCTTTTATGGCTAATTGATTTCCCTAGATCGCCCTTCGGGTTTTCGAACTAGGATATTTTGCTTTTGGTCCTATCTTTTGTCTAGGTTCCCTTTTTTTTTTTTTTTTGGGAATCCTTATCAGACCTTATTTTGTAACCCTAACTTTTGCCTAGGCTACCCTTTATTTTTGTTCGAGTGTCTTAACAGGTTGACCCTATCTTTTGTGTAGCCCCCTTAATGGGTTTCCTACCGAGTACTTTGCCCTTTTTCTTTTTGGTCTTTGGCTTCTATGGGCTTTTTTCTTTTCTTTTTGTTTTTACACAATATTGTCGAAATACGACTTTATTTATGGTGAGGTAAAACCTTATTTTGTGTTTCTAATCAATCATTTATTATGGCAATGGTACATTTTGATTATTTTTTACGCCTTCTTATTCTTCTCTTTTTTCTTTATTTTTTTAGACAAGGTTATTATGAGGTCTAGACATGCAGTAGCAAGAAGAGAAACGAATAGTAAAAAATGTATTCTTTATTAATTAATAAGGGAATATGTGCCTAAAAGATGCCTGGGGTCGGGCTAGCCCCGGGGGACAATCTCTAACAATCACTGGGTTTACATCATTTAAGAAAAGAAAAAGAACTCCTAATGACTAGGGTTGCTCGCGACACTTGCATCCCTCCGCTTCGAAACATTTGTTTGAGTGTGCGGAGGGGAGACTTCCCTTTTCTTCTTTCTGCTCGGCCCTTCGTAGGGTCATATCCTAGGCTAAACTTTAAAGGGTTATCTTTGAATTCTAGGGGTTCCCTCATCCCTTGGGAATTTGCCCCCAATCCTTGGACAGGATGGTAGCCATGCTTCATCATCATGCGGGCTACCTTCGTGTTATTGGGAAGTCTCTCTACGCTGGCAATTTCGAGCGCTTGAAAAGATGTTTCAAGGGCCTCTTCAGCCGCATCCACATAAGGTTAGGTAGACGGTCCACTGATCAGGATATCGTCTTCTGCTTGGACCGTGACCAGTTTGTCATCTACTGTAAACTTGACTTTCTGGTGGAGCGTTGAAGGCACTGCCTTAGCGTCATGAATCCAAGGCCTGCCAAGGAGACAACTGTATGTTGGAGTAATATCCATTATATGAAAATCAACGTTAAAGATAGTGGGTCTGACTTGGATTGACAGATTGACTTCTCCCACTACTTCTCGTTTGGATCCGTTGAAGGCTTGAACAATCGTGCTGCTTGGGCGCAAGCGAGTTCCTTGAATGGTCAACTTGTCCAGTGTGCACTTGGGCATCACATTCAAGGATGACCTTTTATCCACAAGAACTTTAGCGATGAGATATTCCTTGCACTTGATAGAAATGTGCAAGGGCTTGTTATGGCTCGACCCCTCTAAGGGGAGTTCTTCATCTGTGAAGGTGAGGTGATCGCTTGCCGTAATGTGACCGACGATCCTCTAAATTTTTTCTTGGGATATATTATGAGGTACATGCGCCTCGCTCAAGACCTTCATCAGGGCGTTTTGATGCAGTTCCAAGCTCATCATTAGAGATAACAGAGTTATCTTTGCAGGTGTATGATTGAGCTGGTCGATAATGGAATACTCGCTTTGCCTTATGAATTGGAGTAATTCGTTCGTCTCCTCCTTGGATTCTTTGCTTCCTTTTTCTTCGGTCTGTTTATTTTTTCCTTTATTTTTGGGAGCATCCTCTTGCAACTCCTTGGGAGAGTATATCCTTCCACTTCTGGTCATACCCCCAATGCTAGCTATATTGGAGATATCCTCCTTTATTGGTGAAGATTCCCCATATCTCCACGGTACAACTTTATTTGATTCATAGGGGAAAGGACGAGGCATAAATAGTCGTACCGACGTCCTTGCCCCCTCTTCCTTATTGACTTTGAGAACCAACAGCCGAGACTTATTATCCTCTTGTGGTGAATCGACCTTTGGGGAGAGTTTGATTAAGAGCGGTTTTCTCTCCATCCTTCTGATTGGAAGACGTGTTAGTTAATCCTTCCTTTTTATTATCTTATTTATTAAAAATGAAGGAGGGGAAATTGAATATGTAAATGAATGATATGCATGCAAGTAGACAATTGTTGACTAAGGAAATTTTTATATATATTCGTAGAAAGTGTACATTCCCTTATTCCACACTACGAAGCAACTTTTGACAGAAACGGAAAAGCCTAAAGAAACTCACAGGTGGGTCTTGATCTCTATGTAACTCTCTTTCGGCTTCCCAGACGTGACGAGCAAGTGCTTCAGTTTGCTTTTGGACCGCTTGACTCATATCTTCACTGTATTTTTGAGCCTCTTTGATCTTCGCCTCTTTGTGTGTTTCATTCAAGGATAAAGATAAATTATGTACAATTACTAGTTTGAATTAAGTTTGTTAAAAGTTATTTTTGAATGTAAATCATATTTAAAATAATCATATTAATAATAGTGATTATGTCCTAAATGTTACTCTATCTTTTCATCTATACATTTCAAATCATCATAAATTACTATAATGACTTGATTTTATCAAGAGAAACTGTAATTGAAGTTACTCTAACGGTAGATCTTCGATGTCAATATCACAACAAATGTGTTAGAAAACCACAATGTGCCGCATAAGACTATTAGATGGTGTCTTGTTGTTGGCTACATAATGTCCCTTTATTTTTTATATTTCAGAAAGAACTACATTTTTGTCAATTATTTTTCAATTAACGAAGCATACGTTAATTCTAACCATCGTTTAAAAAATTACACAGTAGCGACTGATTTGAGCAGAGAATCAATATATTGGTTGGGTGATCCATCCCATGAACTATTCAAAACCGACGTAACTTGACTATTAAAAAATATTATTTGTTGTTTGTATTTTTCAAAAGATAAGTCAGTTTAATTATCTATAAGTGGCGACGACAGAGAAAGCGAGAGTACGAAGATAAGTATTTGAAAAAATTGTACAGTTTTCTACAACTTTTCTCTGCTCGACCAGGCAACCTGTTGATACAGTTCGTCAGCAATGTAGGTTGATCATTATTCATACTAGTTCTTCCTAGTTCAATAACTGTTTCAAAAATATTATTTCTATTTTTCAAAGTTCAGAATGATAACTTACTAGGATAATAATAAATCAAATGCGTGGATGTGACACAAGGAAAATGATAAAATAGGTGAAAATGAGATGCTTCATGATTAAGGTCTAAAATTATTTCCTTGCAGAGGAGAGTGGCAGATATTCCGTGCAAAACTCTGCGAAACTCGAGTAAGGTGATTACTTATAACACCTTACCTAAAGCTTAATTGTACATAGATTTTACACAGCTGATCGCGATGCATGATGCCTGTTCAGTGTTTGAGTGCTCATAGATAAGTTAGATATTTGTAGATGACACAACATCAAATATTGTATTGGAATCTTGGTACTACTTTCACATGTTTGAGTGACTCGCTTGGACTTTTACCCGATGCCATGAAGTGTTTAAAATCCCTCTCAGGTTCCAAATGTCTTCAACCTTTTCAGGTTGGACATTTGCAGCAGAATCTACCTGCAAATTAGACAAAAGGTGAGATGTCACAAAATATGTTCGACTAAATTAAAAGGGGTGATCCCTCTGAACCATAATCAAAATGAAGTGAATATTATATTACAAGATTAGTTATTCAACTGTTCTTGGGCAATTAGTTGTTTGCAACGTAGTTAAGTCAATTACACAACTGACTACATAGGTTGTTATGTCAGTTACTCAACTAAGGCTGTTTGGGAAATATTGTTGTAAAACTGGACAAATTCCAGTAGAAAGGATTAATCTCCTTCGGAGGGGTATTTGTATACCTTAGTTCATGGCTTGTAATGAGCTTTCAGTAATAAAGAGAGGAAATTCAGAATCTTTTTGTCCGTGAATACCTTTGTTTCTTATTAGGCTGTAATATTTTCAATTCAGAAAAGAGGACCCTAACACCTACCATCTGAATTTCTTTTCAAAATGTTTTACGCGTTCATTTTTTATGGAATCTCTATTGATGTGACAAACCTGTATAATATAAAAGGGCATGGCATTAAGGACAATGAAGTGTTAAAACACAACGACAGAAAAGTTGACAGAACATTTTATTCCTATTAGAATTAGATTAGACCTAACTAAACGACAAAACTTAATATGGAGAGGAAGGAATTTCCAAGTTTTACAAGGATTGGTTTGGCCTATATGGGACATCTTTAGCACACTCCCTCGTGTCAAAGACTAGGCATTTGAAGTTAAATTGTGCTAGTGTAGATATTTATAGGTGGTCCAACATTAACATTGGATTGTCATGAATCAATATCCAAAATGCTTAAGCTGCTTCATAAAAAGCAAAGACATATGAAAGATTCTGTTAGGAACCAACCCAGAATTGAAAAGAAAGAAAAGAAAGATTTTTATTGAAAAGAATGAAATGAACAAGAAAAACAGAAAGAATTTTTCCTCCAAGGATTTTCCCCTTCCCAAAGGATTTCGTCTTTCACAAAGAACTAATGCTCAATTTACAAAATGATAAACCCCCTCTCCTCTCCTTCTTACCCTAATTATATCTAACACACACCTCAAGTAACTAACTAATTATGTTCTAACTATCTTAACTAACTTCTCCTTCACCTTATACCAAAAGATTTTATGTTATATTTCTAACATGCCCCTTTATGTCAGAAGTACCTTTTGGGCTTGAAGTGTGGATAAAAAGCAACGGCTCACTGCCTTATTCTTAAATTCAACTTTATTAGAAGAATGAGGGAAAAAGAGACAATCCAAAATCATTTGGTCATAGAAGCTTTGATATCTGATCATGAATAAACTATCCCAAAAGCTTAAGCTGTTAGGTGAAGACACACATGATTTTATATTATATTTCTAGCAATTTCATTCACAAAGCAGTTAATCTGGAATAGATGCCTTTTCACCACTTATAAATTGAATAACCATTGTCCTACCATCATGATCGTACATGATATATCTATACATGTTAACTCCCCATAAAGGATTCACAGACTCATTAGTTTCTTTAGAAGGATACTAGAATCACAACAATGGGAAGACATACCGCTTTTGCAACAATCTCAGTGCTCTGAAGAATATCAGCTGTAACTTCAAAGAGCACCCATGCCCATTTGTCACTGCTGGCATGCTCTGATATATAGGGAACACCACTTTTCTGAGACCTTGAAGCTTCCATCCATGTTTTGCCTCCATCAACAGAAACATCTACTCTCTCAATGCCTCTGCCACCTCCTGAAGCTGCATATCCACTAATTTTTACCTGCACAGATATGCAAGAATTAAGATTTCAATTAAATACCAAAAGGATGAAAAATGTAGGTAAAAACCACCAAAGGGAACATTTGCCAAAATTTGAATTAAGATTTGAGTTAAACATCAAAAGGACGAAAAATGTAGGTTAAAAACATTAAAGGATGGGCAGGTGTTTTCATTTCGAGGAAACTTCAAATAGAAATATTATTTAAAATTACTTTTAAGGAAAACAGAAATAATTTTCTCAGTACTGGGAATAGGTTAGGAAACATGGACATCAACATATTTGAAGCAAAAGTCACATGCAATAATGAATAATTGATTACTTGAAAATCTTAGTCAACGTTCCAAAGGTGCATGAAATGTTTATTGTGAGCAAGATAAAGAAAAAACAAAGCAAATTTACATGTTTTCGAATTTCATAGTGAGTAATAAAAATATATTCATGTAACTAAAAAACCAGAGAATTAATGCTCGCCCAAATTCATGCATGAATAACTCATTATGGGTCTACTTAGACAACTGATATGAATCACAAGGGATAATTTAGGATCTTTAGGGTTAAAACATTATAAGAAATTTAGGAATTAGAAAGAAGGTGGAAGGAAAGAATCACTCTTCCCAAGGGAAGCAACACACAAAGGATGTGACAGTCCTTTGGTACAGCCAAGGGTTCTTGAATCACTCAAGAAATTAGGAGAATCACTCTCACTAAGATAAAAGAGATAAACTCTAATATTTCTGAATAAAATTTCACTTGTTATTTCTTGATAAGAATGGTTCAGCTGATATAGAAGCGTTGTCATCAAAATTACAAAAGACTCAATAAAAGAAAATAAATACTAATAATAACCCATTAATCTAGGAATTGAAAACTATTTAATAGAAACAAATAAAGGCTAATAATGATCCATTAACCTAGGAATTGAAACTACTTAATGACTGATTGTATCTGAAACTGTGGCAACCAAAAGTCAATCAGCTATGCACCCCTTGGTCTCCCAAAGGCTGATGACTAAATTTTCAATTGGACCCTTATTACAACTTAAAACAAAATCAAACTAAAGCCCATTAATTGATTAATCCAAAACACAATTTGGTCAACCAACAATACTTGTTGAAGAGCTTCCTTTGTTTCCCTTGCTCTAGCACTTATCATAGGTCATGTTCACATCATTCTCTCCCTCTTGAAAAGTGTTAGATATGATTAGATATTAGTTGATATTGTTTGATATTGTTGAGATATTCTCTCCCTCTTGAAAAGTGTTAGATATGATTAGATATTAGTTGATATTGTTTGATATTGTTGAGATATTGTTAGATATTGTTAATCTCAATATCAAATAATATCTTTTTATTTACCCTATTTGTATTCTGTTACTCTTTTGAGGAGTACCTTTCTTTATTATAAATACACTGCCCTATGTGTGGTAAATACATAAGGGAAATTAACCCTATATTCAACATGGTATCAAGAGCTTAAGGTCTCTTGGGATTTTTTTTCGGCTCTGCCACTGAACCTGCAGCTGTCGCCGCCGCCGTCGCCACCGCCGTCCGCCGCCGTCGCCAGAGTAGCAGTTCGGACCGCCGAGCACAGGGTTTTGCTCGCCTCCTCCGTGCGACCTCCACCATGGAAGTTTCACGGTCATCGGAGCAGCCACGCTCCCTCACGCGCCTCCCGAAGCCGCGCCACCTTCTCCCGTTCCGCCGCGCGTGGCGGCGCGTCTCGCCGCCGTTCAGGCCGCTGATCTTTGCGCCGGCGTCGCCTCCTTCTCCTCTCTCTGGATCTGTCCTCGCTGCTCCAATCGGACCTCTTTGGTGTTTTAGGGTTTTTTCTCTCTCTTCCTCCATGGCATCTTCCGCTGCCACTTCCAATTCTGAAGTTACCTCTGTCAGCTCCGGTGGGTCTGAGCAATCTATTTTTACTAATTATGTCAATGTGAATTTACCCATTGATAAATTAGATGGTACGAATTATGCAACTTGGGCATCTGATATTAGACTTTGGCTTGAGAGTCAGGGGTATGTTGATCATCTTACTACCAAGGTAGATGATGTTCCTTCCAATGATCGTGTCAAGTGTGACCATTGTGGCAAACTAGGCCACAAAATTGACAAATGTTATGCTTTACATGGTTATCCTCGCCGATCTGCTGCAGTTGCTCAGACTGATTCTTCCGCACAATCCTCTGCTGTGGATCCTCCTTCGTCTGTACCTTCAGACAAATCTGCTATCTTCAATGATTTTCTTCAATGGTATGAGGATCGAAAGCCCTCCAGGTTCCACTACTTCGTTGCCCACACAGGTACATCTTTTGTCTGGTCCGACTCACTCTTCTTCTATTGGCCCTTGGGTTCTTGACTCAGGTGCCACCGATCACATCACTGGTAACAAATCCTTATTTTCCTCTTTCACTTCTTCTCATAATTTACCCTCTGTTACAATGGCTAATGGGTCTACAACTTTAGTTCATGGTGTTGGAACGGTTACTCTTTTCCCTCGTTGTCCATTGATAATGTTTTGTATGTACCGGGTCCCCCTTTAACTTATTATCCATTAGCCGTCTAACTCGATCTCTTGATTGTGTTATCTCTTTTACCAAAACTTCCGTTTCCCTACAGGACCGGAGCTCGCAAAGAGTGATTGGCACCGGATGTGAGTCACATGGACTTTATTATCTTCAACCTTCTCCACATGTTGGCACGGTTATGGAGTCTCCTTCTCTCCTTCATGCTCGGTTTGGTCACCCCAGTCTGCGCAAATTACAGGCAACTTGTTCCCAGCTTATCCCGGTTGTCCAATTTGGTGTGTGAGTCCTGTCGGTTAGGCAAACATAGTCGTACTTCCTTTTCTCGTAGTGTTTCCCAGCGTGCTTCATCCCACTTTGCCTTAGTTCACTCTGACATTTGGGGACCCAAGTCGTGTTAAGTCTAATTTAGGTTTTCAATATTTTGTTACTTTTATTGATGATTTCTCTCGTTGTACTTGGTTATTTTTAATGAAAAATCGTTCGAGTTGTTTTCTATATTCCAAAACTTTTATCATGAAATTAAAAATCAATTTGGTGTCTCTATTCAAACTTTTCGAAGTGATAATGGCCGTGAATATCTTTCAAACTCGTTTAAACAATTTATGGCTTCTCATGGCATTCTTCATCAAACTTCCTGTGCTTATACCCCTCAACAAAATGGGGTGGTCGAGCGCAAGAATAGACACCTTATTGAAACAACCCGTACTCTTTTAATTCATGGTGAGGTTCCTCAACATTTTTGGGGTGATGCTTGTTCTTACTGCTCGTTATCTTATTAATCGTACGCCCTCTTCGGTTTTAGATAACAAAATTCCCCATTCTATTTTATTTCCTCATGACACTCTCCATCCTTTACCTCTGAAGGTTTTTGGGTCTACCTGTTTTGTCCACAATTTTGATCCTGGTCATGATAAGTTATCTCCTCGATCACACAAATGTGTTTTCTTAGGATTTACTCGATCCCAAAAAGGATACAAGTGTTTTTCTCCTTCTCTTAATCGCTATTTTGTGTCTGCCAATGTCACATTCAATGAGTGTTCCTTTTACTTTAAGGACCCTTCCCTACCTGCTGAGTCTCCATCTGCTACAGTTCCCATTCCTGTTCTCATTGATCCTTATGTTGAGGACCATCCACCATTAGCCCCTCCTCCTCCACCACCCCTTCAGGTTTATAGTCGCAGACCTCGCCCACAACAGACGCCACATGACTCACTCCCAGTGCCAAATACTCGCCTCCTCCGGTTCCGTCCACGAGTCCGACCTTCCTATTGCCCTTCGTAAAGGTACACGTTCTACTCGTAATCCTTCTCCACATTATACTGCTTTAAGTTATCATCGAATTTCTTCACCATTTTATACCTGTCTCTCGTCTATTTCTTTTGTGTCTATTCCTAAATCTGCCTCTCGAAGCCTTAGCCCACCCTGGTTGGCGTCAGGCCATGCTAGATGAACTCGGTGCTCTTCAGACTAGTGGAACCTGGACGCTTGTCCCATTACCATCTGGAAAATCTGTTGTTGGTTGCAGGTGGGTCTTCGCTATCAAGGTTGGTCCTGATGGTACTATTGATCGCCTCAAAGCTCGCCTTGTAGTCAAAGGCTATACCCAAATTTTTGGGTTGGATTATGGTGATACTTTCTCTCCAGTGGCAAAGATGGCTTCTGTTCGTTTATTCATTGCCATGGCTGCTATTCAACAATGGCCTCTTTATCAACTGGATGTCAAAAATGCTTTCTTGAATGGCGATTTGCAAGAAGAGATTTATATGGAGCAACCTCCCGGATTTGTTGCTCAGGGGGAGTCTTCTGGATTGGTATGTCGTCTTCGCAAATCTTTATATGGCCTAAAACAGTCTCCTAGGGCCTGGTTTGGAAAATTTAGCAGCGTTGTTCAACAATTTGGCATGACTAGAAGTGAGGCAGACCACTCAGTCTTTTACCGTCACTCGAATGCTGGATGTATCTATTTGATAGTGTATGTCGATGACATTGTTCTTACAGGTAGTGACCATCATGGCATCTCTCAGATGAAACAACATCTTTGCCATCATTTTCAAACCAAAGATCTTGGCAAACTCAGATATTTCTTGGGTATTGAGGTAGCACAATCTACCGATGGCATTGTTATATCTCAAAGAAAGTATGCATTGGATATTTTAGAGGAAACTGGGTTGATGAATTCAAAGCCTGTTGACACACCCATGGATCCTAATACCAAACTCTTGCCAAATCGGGGGAGCCAATGTCGGATCCCGAACGAGTATAGAAGATTAGTTGGAAAATTAAATTATCTTACGATTACTCGCCCGACATTTCCTTTGCGATCAGTGTGGTGAGTCAATTCCTCAATTCTCCTTGTCAAGATCATTGGAATGCGAGTCATCCGTATATTGAAGTACATCAAAAAGTCTCCTGGAAAAGGTTTGGTGTATGACTCCCATAATCATACAAGAGTTGTCTCGCTATTCGGATGTCGATT